AATTTTTATTAGAAAATAAGTTATTTAAAACCTTCTTAGGATGACACCTAGGATTTTCACCTAGTGTCTCCTCTATTAATATATAGAGGATTTAGTCCACGGCCCATTAGGCAAGGTCGATTGTCATACCATTTTCTTTTCTTTTCTCTAAGAAAAGTTATAAAGTAAACTTCGAATTTATTCAATTCCTCAACTCGATCTAGGAACTTTAATTAGACAAAAAGTAATTCGGTAAAGAAAAACCTTTTTAATGATGATTTTTGGAGAAAACAGATGTGTAGTTAGTTGTATACAACATTTTATTTTTGAGATAACAGATGCATACAACATTTTCTCCGTTAACATCAACTTTTAACAATGATGTATTAATGATTAAAAACCTCACTAAATTAAAAATGGTAATATAATGTGGATCAAATAAGATATAGTAGTAGTAACATAATGTGGAGTAAGATATAGAAGAAAAAAAAATCGACTAAAAGTTAGCACAAAATACATTTGTTTTGATAAGTTTGAATACTAAAACAAAAGATTGAAAACTGCAGTAAATCGAAAGAGTTGTACTTACGTAATGTGTATGTGGCCACTGCATCCACGTCCCGCAAAATAAATGTTTTCTTAAAAGATCCAATATTGAAATTGTTAGTGGTAATTTTACATCCTCCAATGAAAAACCCGCAACATCAGCCGAGGATTATGGAAAATCTTATCCTGGTGCAGAGTAAGTCCGCCTCCAAAGTATCCTTTGATAAACTAAGCTTGCCCACATACTTGTTGCCAACTGCAGTTTGGAAAAGGCGCCAACCACCCTTAAGAAAGAATAGATGATGTGACTAAATAAAAAGTATATGCTGAGCTCGAAGCAAAGATTAAGTAGAAACTCGGAAGAATAATACAAGAGAGAATGCTCCCATCCTAAGTAGAAATCTCTAACTCCACTATGTCTAGAAATTCTTTCTCATTTCTTTTCTCGTCCTCTTTTAAATATAAAAGGCCATGTTCTACGGATGTGGTTAGAAAGTAATTCTATAATAACAATTTCCATATACTTATTATTATAACGTTTATTGCTATTTTATACTATTTTATCCACATAAATACACAACAATATTTAAATAAAAATTCAGTTATACAATTTTGTTGATTAAAATAAGAATAATATAATTTATATATTTTTTTGATCGATACTTTCCAATGGAATTAATCACACGTAATAATTATTTTTGTTTCCGAATCGTAGTCCAAAAAACAAAAATCAAAATGATCCAAAAACCTACGCGGGCGTTTTATAAGAAGAAAGGAAGGAAAGAACGTAAAGACAGGAATCGTGTGGGACCCCCAAAACACTTCCATTGTCCAAAACTCTAAACTCTAAACTCTGCTCTCGCTGGCACCAGATCA